AGGGACGGCGGGCGGTGACTGCGGGACGGCGGGACAGCGGGACAGCGGGGCCGGGGGCCGCAGGTACCGGGCTAGACTGGGGGGATGCAAGCACTGCGTGGGGCAGCGGGGCTGGGTCGCCGCAGGTACGGGAGGGGACCGCGGGGGCCGCAGGTACTGGGCAGGAGCAGCTGGGGACGGACCGCGCCCCTTCCTCTTCTCCGAGAATGGAGACCCTTCGTTCCTGCTCTGAAGAGCCGCTGTGAGGTGCCAGCACTCGGCCCTGGGCTGGACTGGCGGAGCAAGGCGGGGTGACGGTCCTGTCCCACAGGCTCCTGCTTTCCAGCAGTTTCCGAGACCGCCGGAGTCAAGGGAATGTCTTTCTGCCTAGTAACCCCTGATGAGTTTGCCCGGTGGCTGTTGAGATCCGAGTAAGCTGTTGGTGTCCGTGATGTTCGGAAGTGTCTCTTCACAGTAACTAAATCAGTGAGGAGCCAAAACAAACATCTGATTTTCTTTGGGGGTGTGGTGTGTGTCGAGTCAGGTAACTTGTTAATTTCTGCCTCTTGTGCTGTGCAAGTCACGGTGTCCATCTTCCCTATGCTGCTTGTGACTTTACTGCTAAATCACGGAGTAGTCACTCTTTGGCAGCATCTCCTTGTAGGCTAAAGATCCAGTCATCTTTATTTCATGGGTTGTAGCCCTACAGTTCTCTTTTTATGCTTGCCACCTATTTCTGGATCTTTTCCAGTTATCTATTCTGCTTTTGACTACATCTTTCTCATAGTTTGAGATGCAAACATTCCATGGATGTATACGTTGGTATAAGAATACTTCAGTTTAGTTATTTGTAACTTCCTGATAATACTTTGTGTTCCCTTTAGCTCAGTTCTCACTAGAAGTAAGACATCCAGTGCAATTATTTATTTCTTTGTTTTTATTTAGTATAATTGATGGGCTGTCTTCCTGTGTTTTGATAACTCAAAATTTATCCTACTAACGGGAAGGTTAGGTTTGCTTTGTTTTTTTGGTTTTTTTTTTTAATTAGTAAAAGAAATTACAATAGATGGAAAAGAGCCACCTTATCAACTGTTTTTATTCCCCACATCATTAGAAATTCCAAACAAGTGAAAAAAACCTGGTCAAACAGAAATGTTATGACACTGATGATGTCTCATTCGGGTGGAGATAAGCAGATGGACTCTGGCACTTGGCTGTGGAACTATCTGCCCATGTATTCATGTTGTAAAATGTATTCATGTTAGATTTAAGCACTTTGAGATCAATATTCCTACATGACTCACTTTGGCAAGTGTGTGTTGCCAAACTAAGGGGCAACTGGGTTGTGCTTGGTGATGTAACTTCAGCGGCTGTGCTGCTGATGGAAGGCTTGCTGCATCCCACAGCCTGTTATGGGACTAAGAGTCTTTTGTGTGAGCTTGGTGAGAGGGATCTTACTCCCACTCCAGCTGCGATCTAGGGTGTTGAGGAAAAAGAGGAAGTGCTGCAATTAGCCAGACCTTTTCCTCACCTTCCCTTATCAGCCTTGAGGTATGGAACTTGCTGTCCCTGTGCAGGCACTCCTGCAACTGCTGGTTTCCTGGCATTTTTCAGGCAAGAGTGGGGAAAAATGTATTTCAGTCTCCTTCCCTTTTCTCCATAGGGAAAATCTGTGTAGCTGTGCAGCAGCCACGGGCAGTAGGGTGGGCTAAGGTGCTCCCTGTAGCAGCAGCAGAGTCGTGTGCAAAGTGGTGTTGGGTTACAACACCACGAAGAACTGCTGCTCAGTGACTTCAGTTTCCTGTACACACAGAGCTGCAATTCAGATGTGTCAGTGGTTCTTAAGGTTACCGTTGCCACTGGGTGGCAAAAACCTTAATTCTAAGGCGAGGGAGACAAGAAATATGTAATTTTTAAACAGCTTTCACAAGTTTGTGGGTTTAGTTTCAGAAACAAAACTGAAAGTGATGGTTCTTTCCTTGCCTCACCACCTGTACTTAGCCTGTATGCTTAATATCTCCTTTTATTTTTTGTTTTTTCTTTTCCTGTGCATGCCCTTTGGAACAAAGGAGTCAGGGAAGGAGTTTCTGCTACTAAAGTGCTATTCAAGCATGAGCTGAAGCAAAGGGACATGAAACTTTATAGGGAAAACCAAGAAACTCTCAAACCTAAATTATGTGACTCTGTAAATTTTAGTTTCTCTTTAATGAAGAGAACTTACATTTTCAGAATATTCAGAGTGTATGCAGGTCAGCCTGGAGATTTCCTGTATAGTTTATGTTGATGGATAGAAAAATTGTAATGGTGAAAAATCATCAAAAACACTTGGAAGAGCTCCATCTCCAGTAATCATATGATGTTTTGTTATCCTCGAGACAAAAACCTGTAACTGACAGAATGGAGTCAGGTTTCTGGACCAATCCAGCCTCATCTGTCACACTGTGACAGCTGGAGCTGTTTTGGCTGGTGCTGGTAGCAGAAGTGCTGTAATGACACAGAAGGTGACACCTTACTCATCCTCTTTTTAAATTTGTGTAAGCTTATGGTTTCCTGTTGCTTTCTCAAACTCTAGGGATTAAAAATTTCGTTGTCCAATTTAGTGAATTGATAATTGTTGTTCATATCCAGTCTCTGTATTATGAGTTTTTAACAGTCTGTTAAAAACAGACTGTTTAACAAGTCTGTTCCCATATTTTACAGTTGATGCTGGGGTTGAATATTTTGATAAATTGGTGTTTGAGAAATTTAGTTTTCCTTATTACACAGGCCTTCTGTCTAAGTTTTCTGGTATTTTGGTTCTAGCATAATCTCTCCCAGTCTCTTCAATCCCAAATTTCAGAGTTTCAGCTGTCATTTTACAAGGATCTCTACCTAAGGGCATGATTATCTATTTAAAATTGATCAGTGCAATTCAAATCAATGTCAGCATAAGGAAGGTCTAGTGGAGCCATAATTGGAAAGCTCTGAAGCTGTTTGTGAAAACAGTTCTTTGAAGGAAAGGCGAAGAGGGGTTGTTTACAACTTATAAATAGTTCTCTTGTTTGAAAAAATAGGTCTTTTAGGATGCATCAAAGGTTGGTTTCTTATCCCTGCATTGTGTGTGCTTAAGCTGATGTCTGGGAAGGCAAGGCTATTGATCTTGCAGCACACACCACTCTGCGATCGACCCTTGGGATTAGTGCAGTTGATCGATACGAGCCTGAGCTCGCGGTTGTTGTGTGTTAACTACTTAGGTGGGTAATCCTCTCTGGTATGCAAGTGCATTGCTTAATGCTTTGACCCTCTGACTTGGTTTGAATAAGCTCATGTTCTGTGTCCCTAATGACCTTTTGCAGTCAGTAGTCTTGTGCTGAGATCTCATCGGAACCTGAGCACTGGGGGCTTTCCCCTCTCTCAAGTCGTTACATTGTATTCCAAATCCTTTTGTCCAAAGGCTTTTTTCTTAAATGTGAAGAAATGCTGTCTTTCCTGTGAATGCGAATTTTTAAAGGACAGACCGTATGCCCAGACTGGATTTGGTTTGTGTTTTTTCAATTTTTGAAAGCTACAAGGTCTTTCCAGAGTCCCTTAAGCTGCAATTTACTTGAAACACAGAATTACATCAAAAGGGGAACACAATATCTTTGATCTAATTTAGATTTAGATCTTCCCTTCTAGAAGGACAGCAGATTGGTTCAAAATACCATGTTGCATTAGTAGTGTTACACTTTGTAACTGACTGAGCTTGTTTTATCTCAGTTGCATTTTGTATCAGAAACTCTTAAACGATAGTAACATTTTAAATCAGAATAAGGTGAGTCCTATACAAGGTGTTGTCAGTTCTTCATCTGGAAGATTATCTGCATATGAGAGCAATTAATATATTTACCTGTTGATGGTTGGTATAATGGAAAGTAGTAGTAAAGAGTTGTGAGCTCTTGTCTGGTCTGTGTAACTGGAGCTCAGCATTTTTGGTAATTATCTACTAGATTATGTGAAATAATTTATTTTTAAGCCCCTTTCTTATATGTATGCTTGTGCTTGTACCATTTGTCATTTCTAGGCTAGCTGCTGATGAAGCCATGACTGAAATGACTGCTGAGATTTATTCCTGGTTTTGGGACGGTGTGTTTCAAAGGGTGCCAGTTGTGCTGTGTCATGTTTTAGCCCTGTGCCTAATTTAGACACAGGGAAATGCTTGTGTGTTCAATTTGGCACACCTCATCAATTCTCAGTGCTAAAATAAAACTAGATTCCTAGTTTATTGGTACTGTCTGAAGTACGTGTTAAAATTTTGTTTCCTTCTGTGATGCAGCAAAGCCGCACTGGGTTCCACCCTAATGACTAATACCATCATGCATTGTCCTGTGTAATAATTTGACGTAGAAATATCAGAAGCACATGTAGCAGGGAAGGGACTCTTGAATAAAATCACCATTAATCATCTGGAATAAAACTGCTTGATGATTGAAAAAGGGCAGAAAAGCTTTATGCTGCATAGCCTCCAAGAAAAGAATGTGTTCTTAATCTTTTAATTAAGTATTATGTCACCACAAGCAGTTTGTTGACAGTCTGTTTGACTTACTGGTAGAAAACAGGTGAAGGATTATTTAGTTTCATTTTGCTTGCTGTGTTTGCAATACTATACAAAAGAACTGTTTCCAAAAAGTACCTTTATATTCTCTATTAAGAAGAGAGGGAGAAAAAAAAAAGTACCTGTAGTTAGAGGCTTCATTCTTGCTTGTGGAAGATACATGTTTTCTGTTTACTTACCTGGAAGTAAGTGCTTAGTAATTTAGTGTCTTTTTTGGAAAGAAAATCCAAGAAAAGACAGTAAAAGTCTTGTTGCTGTTAACTAACACTGTTATTTATTTCTGAATTTGTATGTAAAGGGAGAGCTATCAAATTGAAGTGTGAATATAAAAGTTATACTGTTACGGTCTGTAATCTCATCTATGTGAAGGTGTTAAACTGGAAAAGCCTCATTAAATGCAGCTTACAGAATCCACAATTTATTAGAAGATGAAAGATAAATGAAGGAAGGTGAAGAAGTTGGTTTTGGCACAAATGGCAAGGTGATCTGAGCTGCTTTTGGAGGTGGCCTC